AGTAAATAGGAAAAATAAAAAAGAATCAAATAAGAGATATCTCCGAGCATCCATGCTGGCAGCTGCAAGATATACAGAGAAAGATCCCTCTTTTGAAATGGCAGCAGTAGTAAATACACAAAGAAGCATGTGGAAATGCGAAGCGCCACATGTGAAACAGAAGGGTCCCACTGTTTTCCACGTGGCAAGCCATGGCAGGTCAGTGGAGATTGCGCAGAACGCCAACCCCTTATCAAGAAAATCTTTCCCTCTCAGAAAATGACACCAACTTTTCTCTCTCTTCTTCTTCTACTGCTGTTGTTGTTGCTTGATATATATGTGGAGAAAGCTAAAACAAAAATCTTTTAATTTTCAGCTCTGCCATGACAGCCATTACTACTGCTCTTTCTTTTCCTTTCTCTTTGTGCCGCTCTACTAAGTCTTATACTAGAAAGGTACCTTTGCTTTCTTTTTCCTTTTATTCATTCATTTTGGGTATTTGCAAAACATTGAAAAGTTTGCTTCTTTATCTTAATTAAGCCTGTTTCTAGAGACCCTTTTGAAATTGTGGTGAAAAAGGAAAACAAAAATCATTTCTTGATGCTGGTTATCTATATTGAGATTTCACAACGGATAGGATCATGATCGTTATTTGGTTGATAGCTGGTAAATTGAAATATGTTTAGTTCCTAAAGTGGAATAATTTTGACTAGTGATCTTGTGGATGGTAGTAAATTTTTTTACATAGGTTGCTACACTTCACTCTAGTGGCTGTGATTCTTCACTATAGTTGAAATTTATTTGATTGTCCAAGGGACTATATGCAAGAATAAGCTCTGCGTCGTGTAATCGGTACTAATTTATTTGGTAGATGATGACATGCGTTGAGCTTAAATGACGACGTGAGGATTCATATAGCCTACTCCAACTTGTTTGAGACTGAGGCGGCGTTGTTGTTGTTGTTGTTGTTGTACTTAAGTCATTTTAGTATGGAGAGAGTCATACATCACTTGCATTTTCACAATTGTTGACTGGTTTTGCATCTTGTTCATCCTCAGTATGTCAAAGGGAGCTTTGGAGTGTTTGCAGTATATGGGGAGGAGGGTGGGATGCCAGATAAGAAAAGTTCCTGGTTGACACTCTTTAATGTGGAAGATCCAAGGTCTAAAGTTCCACAAATTAAAGGCAAATTCTTGGATGCAAATCAAGCTTTGGAAGTTGCTAGATATGATCTACAATACTGTGATTGGCGAGCTCGGCAAGATGTACTTACAATCATGCTGCTGCATGAAAAGGTTTGTCTTTGAATTAATTTCCTATCTTTAATTGAACTTGGTAAATACAACATTCACTGTCTTTTCTAGGTTTACATACAACTTTGTAGCACTCCTATTTCTTGTTTTCTTAGCTTGTCAAGTAGAGTGTCCTTTTCACCTCCTCCTGTTGTATTCTCTTTAGACTTGTTTCAAATTTTCCTGCTCGTCATGCAGTAGCGGAGCCAAAAATTTCACTAAAGGATGTCATAATATAAAAAAGTAATCATAAGGGATTCAACATATAGTATATGTGCATAAAAATAAACTTTTAACCTAGCTAAACAGTGTGACCTTCGCATAAGGTGGCTCTGCCACTGTCATCATGGTATTCTACCATTTGTTCTGATTAGCGGAAATTATGTAAATAGGTTGTGGAAGTGTTGAACCCTCTAGCACGTGAATACAAATCTATTGGAACCATGAAAAAGGAACTTGCAGAGTTGCAAGGAGAGCTTTCTCAGGCCCACAACCAGGTATGAAAAATTCTTATCCTATCAAAATGATATTTGGATACAAATTGCATTTTCTATTTTCTAGTTTTCAACACCAGTGGATATTCAGGGCTATTTGCCTTTGATATGTCAAACTTATTGAAATAAGTCTTAAATATAAATGGATAGTTATAAAATCTTGCTTATTTTCGTAAGCATAAAGTTCTATATCTGATGTATCAATACAACAGGTACATATATCTGAGGCCCGGGTTTCTGCTGCTTTGGATAAGCTAGCTTACATGGAAGAGTTGGTTAATGATAGGCTTCTGCAAGAGAGAAGCACGGCAGAATCAGATTGCTCGTCCTCCTCTGCCAGTACGTCAACAGCATTATTGGATACTGTTAAAAGCAAGCAACCCCGAAGAACCCTGAGTGTGTCAGGTCCTGTCCAAGATTACAGTTCCCGTTTGAAGAACTTTTGGTACCCTGTTGCTTTCTCCGCAGATCTTAAGGATGACACCATGGTAAGTCAATTATCTGAAATAATCTCACTCGCATAAAGAGAGGCAGCATTTGATTCAACATACAAAATCATGTAGATGCAAAATTATGATGCCAAAACCAATTAACATGCTCTTCTGTAAATTCAGATAGATTTTTATGGTCTTGTGTTAATTCTTCTGGCTCTTGTATTTGATGACCATAAAATGTTATGTTTCAGTTACCGATTGATTGCTTTGAGCAACCATGGGTGATCTTTCGCGGGAATGATGGAAAACCTGGATGTGTACAGAATACGTGTGCACATAGAGCCTGCCCCCTTGATCTTGGCTCAGTGAAAGAGGGACGCATTCAGTGCCCTTATCACGGTGAGAATTAAGAAGAATCTTACTTTTAGTTCAGAGTTCCTATTTGGGATGTGGACACAACATTGAAATAGCTGACACTGTTCTTTTCATGAATTTAGGATGGGAATACTCAACTGATGGGAAGTGTGAGAAAATGCCATCAACACGATTACTGAATGTAAAGATCAAAGCACTGCCCTGCTTTGAGCAAGAGGGAATGATATGGATTTGGCCAGGAAATGATCCCCCTGCAGCTACCCTTCCTTCTTTACTACCGCCTTCTGGATTTCAAATCCATGCGGAGGTTTGAAATCACTGCCATTCGATTTTCAGTTGTTAATAGGAAGAATATCTTACAGCACATTCTTGAATACTTTTGCATTATAGCGGTTGTCGTTATTGACAGATAGTCATGGAACTTCCAGTGGAACATGGGCTATTATTAGACAATTTATTGGATCTTGCACATGCTCCTTTCACCCATACATCAACCTTTGCTAAAGGATGGAGTGTCCCAAGGTAGTTGTTATTATATTATATGTTGCTAATTACCGAGAAGTCTTGTAATTAGCAACATAGATTGTTTTTCTATTTATTTTCATATAGTTATCCAGAAGACTTGATTTTACTTATCAATTTAAAAACATATGAAGGTCTCTGTGCTTATGATTTACCTTATTTCAGATTGGTGAAGTTTTTGACTCCTGCTTCTGGTCTGCAAGGATATTGGGATCCTTATCCAATAGATATGGAATTTAGACCACCTTGTATGGTTTTATCAACCATTGGAATCTCAAAGCCAGGCAAATTGGAGGGGCAGAGTACCAAGCAGTGTTGTACACACCTTCATCAACTTCATGTTTGCTTACCTGCATCACGACACAAGACACGGTTATTATATAGGATGTCACTGGATTTTGCTCCCCTGCTGAAACACATCCCTTTCATGCAATATGTTTGGAGACATTTTGCCGAACAGGTTAGATTCTGTCCTAAAAGCTTTGACAATGGCTGTTTAACATCTTATGGAAGTCATCAGTCAGTGACTGATTGTTCTATGAAAAACTGCATTCTGTTAGTCTTGGAAAAATGATAGCATGAAACAAAATCAAAGCTTGAATATTTAGGATTACCATCACACAGCTCTAGAAGCTCAAGATCTCGAGGGTTTAGACTTGCAAACTCTTTAATTCGTGGAAGTTAAATACAATTGCCTAAAATAGAACCACAAAATTGTGAACACCAACTTCTGAAATAGAATCTTGCCAGAAATATTGAATACAATTTCATCTTCTTTAAAAGATGTTTATCACATTCTCTTCTTCGTGAGGATGATGCTGCAAAGACTTTCCCTTTGTAAAGAGAACTAAAGAGAAGCAAAATGAAAGATGTGTTCTAACTTTATCTCTTTGTGGAATTTTATACAGGTTTTAAATGAAGACCTACGGCTTGTGTTGGGCCAGCAGGATCGCATGCTCAATGGCGCCAATATTTGGAACTTGCCAGTGTCTTACGATAAGCTAGGTGTGAGGTATAGAATATGGAGAGATGCTGTAGATAGTGGAGCAAAGCATCTACCATTCAGCAAATAAATTTAGGACTATTCCAAGTACAGGTTTTTACTTCTCAAGATGATTCTTCGCTCTAGCTTACATCATCAGTTCATGACGAACTTCAGTTGCTGAGGATTGTTCTTGTGAGGAGACACCAGAGCATCTGGTTCCTGGTGCATGGCTAAGAAGAGATGATTTCAGCCTAACGTCCCCTTGTTTGTACACAAATTTTTGTAGGTTCGTGTACAGTTTTGAGCAACCTTTTTCACACCCCTCTCCACCAATAATTCGTATCGCGACCCTTTCTGCGGTTTAGAAATTTTTTTCGGTTCTTTACCTTGTCATAGCGTAAATTCTGATCTCCTTTTTCAATTAAGAGTTATTGTTTTTGCCAAAATGGAATCAGAAGTTTTATGACCTCTGCTAGATGTTTGAGCTAAGTTGTATCAGTATGACAGTATTGAAATATTATTCTTGTGATGTTCCTATATAGAACAATTGGCAATGCTTGATGAAACAGTTGTCATTTTAGAGTCTTGTCAAGAATATACAGAGCTCAAAGTTATAGATACTGCTGAGTGTAATGCAATTCGACTCCTAATCACACTAATAGAAGATCGGGAAAAAAAATCTCTTCGAGGTAGGGTGCATAGAATACTTGGACAAGAGTTTCCTAATACAAAAACAATGTGAAAGCTGCTGATTATAGTGTTGATGACCATGTCACTTCATACTACTAAGGTCAAAATAAACTCTTTCACGAGGTTCTTCCAAGGACAATTTTGGATTGACTCTGTACTAAGGAGTTTGTACTTTGATAGTTTTTATTTCTACCAATCTTTTAAGTGTTAACACAACAATCACAAGAAATATTCCCCATAATAGATGCCAGCACAGAACACTAACCATCTCAGTTGCATACTTAATAGTACCACAAATTTACACCGGATTATAATAGTGTAAGACACCACACGGCTTTCTTAGAAAGCTACAGGTTAGTAATAGCTAGAGTTAAGAGTTATCTACATACAGATATGGACAAAAACCTCATATCAGGTTACGCCGGCTTCCAAACTGTGAGCACTTGTTGAAACATCTCTAGCATCAGATCTCTATCTGCCTGTCTGAAGAAGTTGTTTATTTCATCCCTAACATCATAAATCTTGCCAAAATCAAACAAATACGTTAAGCAACCTTTCTTCAATTTATTTAGCTGGTAAAGCCAAGCCTCTTGCAATCTTTCGAGGACATTTCCCGAGTTGATGTCTTCTAGGAGACTTTCCTCACAAGCATTCTTCAAATCTGCAATGTCATACTTGTTTGCCGCACCCAGAAGTGCCAACCGGTGCTTCCAGAAATCCTCTTGTTTTATGGTCCCATACAGGTAACTGAGAAGGGCTGTGCATGATTCTGTTGACATGTCTTCTATGTCAATCATAGAGGACTCTTTCTCCCTGAGATCGTGGAGGAACATGCTGTGGAACACAGGCGAACTAGCAGACAGTATCGCCCTGTGAGCTTTCACTGATCCATCAGCGGTATTTATGGTAACATCAGCATGGATGGACTCGTCAAGCATACGAGAGAGACACCGGAGAGTACTTTGGGTAGCTAAAGCTTGCAAAATAATGTCATCGGGCCATATAGATTTGCCTTCTCCACCCTAAAGTTTCAATTACCACAGGTTACTAAGTGAAGGAACATGAGTTCAAAAACACATCAAGGTCGTTTTCTGATAAATGCTGAGAAGAAATTTTCATTCTGTTCCATTTTCTGTAAAACGGTATATTGGGAAAATTTCATTTTTTTTTCAGTTCAAATCTGCAGAAAGGAACAACCAAAGAAGTCAATTTATATACACCTAAACACAAGCCCTATCTGTTACAACTGGATAGGTATTTTATCAAAGAACCATTTCAATTAGCAATCTCATACATATTAAGCATACACACACCGTAGCATGTCAAGAAACTCACATTTGGTGAGTAGATCTTCAGGTCAAGGAACTCAACATCAATGATGAATCGACCTTGTAACGCAGAATCAATAGGCCACACAAAGTCATCACTTGTTCGAAGCAGCCTCTCATACACTGCAACATGGACCACCACAGAATTATATGCAACATAACATGTCAAATATGGTTAATGCAATTCATCGTGTGTTCTGGACATTAGTTGCAGTCTCTTTAGTCTGGACAACAAAGAGAAACACAAGGAAGCAAAAGAGTACAATTTCATGTGTCTGGACGTACCGCTGAAGAATATTGCTTCACTGTGCAACTAAAAATAATAACAATCGTTAACTAAAAGCCTAAATAGTACACAACAGTTAGGCTAGCAATTATTGGCATATTAATAGCCTAAGGCAGTCTAGACATAGGTTCTTATACTACAAGAAAAGGCGGACACTTGATTTGTAGCGCGTATGGAAGTCCTTTTTTAAAAAAAAATGAATTATGGTCAATAAAACAAAAAAAAATTGACCATATAAGGAAGGAAAATTTACGTGCTTAAGGACACTGAAAGTGTAGAATACTGAACTGTTCTTGCTCTCATTTTTCAGTGCTTTTCGGTCCTTTTGACTTGGTATTTGGGCTTTGTGCTTCGGCTATTTGTAGGTGTCAGCTTACCTTAAACATCCAATTGTGCACCTGCTAAGTCCTTCTGTTGTCTAAATATATAGTTAAAACGTCTGATGACAAGACTTCCCTGACTGAAAACAAGGAAGGGTCAAGGGATAATCTACATTGGTCTGAGTTGCCTAAGATACCCCATTAGTCATCACAAGATGCATGCAGTGTGCAGTATAACACCCATCCTCTGAAGATTACACAGGTCGTGGTAATTGACAGTACATACTCATCCCCCAAAATACAGGCTGCCTAATATACTAGAATGCGGGGAAAAAAAACATAAGATGAGTCCAATAATTGCTTTCCAAAGAAACCACAAGCTTCAGAGCCAGGTATATGTATACTGCTCCATTTCAGATATGAGTGGCAACTGACTTGATAAAGTATTACGTAAAAATGTCAGCGTGTCCATCCCTCCATGAGGACAGGAATGGACATTTGTTGACTTTCCAAGAGAACATTTGAACACCATACAAGTAACTTCGTCTCTTGCCGTTCAGTAGAGTGCAGATCAATTACCAAATAATCCATAGTAAATGCAAATAACCATGATGTCATTTGACGATCACTGCTATAGACATGATATTTATAGATAAGTTACACTTGTGTGGCAAATAGAGAATATAGGACTTGCAACCAGACCTTTTGTGAATAGAGCAAGAAGCTAAGATTTTGAGAGAAAATATTAAGACCTAGCCCAGCCAGCTTTCTGCTACATGAAAATTTTAGTAAAAAGAGAAAAGAAATCAATATGTGCAGCACGATCAGTTCAATTAGTACGAAATCTGCCAATATGTAAGTTTAGATGCTAGGAGGATAACCCTTGTTCTTTTTTTGCTTTTTCTCTTTCTGTAGGAGAACAGAACAAGTGAATGACATGTAGCCAGCGGAGGCAGATCGATCAGGAAACAAACCTGAGGGGTTCAATTCTTAGGCTCTTAGCACTAAACGCACTGTACTTGTGATAAAAAGGGTTCAAAAGTTAATACTAGTCTTTTTGAAATTTTACTTGCCTTTTCACATAAAGTATATGTGTTTTCCATGCATAAATACTGTACCCAGATTTAATAGGTTGCATCTGCCTATGGACTATCAGACTATGGTAGCCAGATATATGCCATTCTTCCAAGAATAAGGATTGGATCTCCTGTTTGTTTATTGGTTCATTTTTTAATTTATTTTTTGGGGGATGGAGGCGCGTAGTAGCATGAGCTAAAACATTTTGGAGTTGAACTCATCCTAAGGATTTTTACTTGTAAGACTTCTTGATACCAACGTAAAACTCAACGTTGCCTTGGCCACACTTTATATGACATGCGTCAATTTTCACAGGTGAGTTGAAAATGTAATAATAATTGTGTCCTGTGGATATTTATTTAAACTTGTCATGTATTATGTAAATTGTATACAGATATCATCTAAAAATTCAAAGTTTCAAACTAATATAAGTTTCTCCGAAAGCAATGACTTTACCAGAACAGAAAATAGACCATATTTTTTAGACGTACCAAAATACAAAAGTACATCAAACAAAGTGGTACTCCCTCTGCCTCAATATATGTGACATTTCTATATTTAAAAATAATTTAACTTCAAATGTCCCATTTTTATTTAATGAGATGATTTATAGCCACACAAATTTTTATAGTAATTGATTCTAACCCATAAATTTCAAGTCTTCCTTTAAAACTTTATGTTGAGCCAAACACCATCACATAAATACACAATCAAAACACAGAAGAGCAAAAAAAAAATAAAAAAATACCAGGAGATATGTGAGGTCTACGGTTGGTGCCGGTGGTGGTGACACGGAGCATAAACCGAGCAAAGGGAGGAGGAAGCTGCTCTTTTGAAAGCCGAGATGGTTCTGGAAACAACCGAATATACAAATACCGGTTCTTTTCAATTGATAAGTGCCTTATTAATCAACAACTTCAACATCAGAAGAAAAACAAAATTGAAAAAATGAAAGATGAAAAATAGAGAGCAAATTACCAGTTCCAGATACCAATTTTAAAAGGGTCGGATCGCTTGTAAGTGGATGCTCCGAAGTTGTCGATCCTCCATTGAGCTAACCTTGATATCGTTTCTACCTTTGCGTCCGTCATTCTTCTTCTACTCTGTGTGTGTGTGTGTGTGTGGGTAGTGGACTTCTTTTGAACAGCCTTTGCTGATTGCATAAAGGAACGTTTTAAGTTATAGGAGTAAAACTTAAGTGAGAAGTCTTGCTTTTGACTAAGGACTGTTGAAAATTTAAGACACAATAAGTGGCTAGTTTCACTTGACTCTATAAATTTCCGAGAGATTTTATTTGGTGGTTAAGTTATTTTTTTCCCTATAAATAGAGAGGTCTTATTCCATTGTAAATAATCTCAAAAATCAATAAGAATTCTCTTCATACTTTTCTCTACAATACTCTTTTCTTCTTTTATTATTTCGTAACACGTTTCCAGCACGAAACTATAACCAATTGAGTAGAAGCTTTGGGATTGAGCATAATAATTGTCAATTGTTTCATGAACTTCCTTCATGATTAAATTCTGGATTTAAGGTAAGTATTTTACTTTATTTTTCTTTTTAAATTTTTTGACATTCTATAATTTGATTATAAATACAAGCAAAGATGATAAATTTTGATTGTAACTCTAATGAAGTTTGAAAGAAATCATAACCACCCAAAGTGGTAAAATTTCTATGCCTTGCCATGATCAAATTCATATATGATTGTGAGCAAAGAAGTGCAAACTCATCCCATTGAATTTGTTTCATTCTCATTCCCTTAAGAGAATGTGGTAGCAATATGTAATAAGTCTGAAAGAAGAGAAAATTATTACCTTGAAGGTATCAATGAATGTGGACGTGCTAATAGACGAAATTATAATCGCCACCATTGTGGATTCTCAAAATTGTCTTTCACTTTGTGAAAGTAATATTTGTCATCGATTTGACATGAGATTTTGTAACACACATATAAATGATTATGATCCATTCATGATTTGAATGTGACAACATGTGATATATGAATACATATTCATTCTTCAAAGAATATGAACGTGCTAGTGGTAGCGAATATACCACACTCACCTCTAGAAGGAGGTTTGAGATGATATAAGAAAATAATATCATTATTATGTCATGAATGGTCATTGGTCACGTACCTATTATACTCCAAAATATTTTGGCAACGTGATTATTAAACGACAAAAATAATGCAAGAAACATATCTTGCATATAATTTTGACCATGACATAATGGTATAACTTTCTCCTTGAAAGAGATATATGACCATATGGATGTTGATGAATATGTAGTAGTACAAAATTAATTGAGAGCTTTGGAAGAGCCAATTACCAATATTTTGGAGAAATAAAATTGATTATCAATAAGATATTGTATTGTAGTAAGTCTCAAAGAAACTTATTTAGTTTCTAAAGTATTCGCGAAAGCGGTTTGTCATACTGAGACTATAAATAAATTAAATGAAAGATTTAATATCTTCTATTACTACAATTTGTAGCGGGATAATATGTATGTGAAAAGTTACCCGCTTTATTCTCCAGTTTGTACTACACAAATAAAAGAATACCACAATAAAGTGGATGTTTATTGATATAAAAAACTCATATCATAATAAACTTGAAGTTTATTGATAATTGCACACGTCATGGTGTAAATCTGAACTTTATCAATATTGATAATTTATTCAGTTGGCATAATTGGTTTAGCCATATCAATTTAAGTATGATGTGCAAAAAAAATAAAAGAAAATTCACATGGGTAAATATTAAAGAACTAGAAAGTTCATTATGAATTCTCTTATATTGTTTGTTCTCGTTAATTAATTGACCAACTAAAATTGGGATTGAATCCCATGAATTCTGGAAATATCAAAGGTGAATATGGGCTCATTCACCTGCCATGTATACCACATAAGATGCATCTATGAGATGGTTACATGTGCGATTATTATTAACCCGTAACTTGGTGTTTGCAAGGTAATTTGCTCAATAATTTAATTTAGAGCATAATTTCCAGATTTTCTATCCAAGATAGTTTATCTTGATAAGTTGGGTTACATCACAGTTGGTTTAGCAAAATAATTTATTGAGTGCCTCCACTTAATAGCTAAAATATTGCTTATGAGAACAAAATTATCTATATCAGTTTGATATACATTATATACGAAAGTATATTACATTCTCCCCTCACAAGTGCTTCAGGGTCAGGAACCAAATAATTTCATCGTATTATTATTAATATGCAGTGTGTATTTTGATTAACACCATAACGCACAAAGATGAGTTCTCAAAGTTGAGGAAACAAGTTAGTTTTTCTAACATGAGGGGGAGAGATGATAAATAGTTGAGAAAAAGTTACGTGGAATGAATTATCATTTGTACATTTAGATCCTCGAAAATATGAACTTGAAGTTCATAAAAAGATAATCCATTTGCAATATATTGCAAAGCATGCCAGACGCATTTGCTGACCCAAAGAAAATAACTATATTCTTGTTGCAAATGCTCCTATTATGTCATAGAAGGACAAAGTCTATGGTACTTTTAAAGTGTATAGACAAATGGGTTTCAAATAAACTTCTTGATAAAGAAGATGAGCAAATGATCAAAATGATCATAATAAAGGAGACAAGTGATCTAGAAGATCACATGACATAACACTTCATAAAATCTCAGGAGAGATTCAGGTATCTGAACATATGAATGGAGAGATCTCTATGTTATGTCTTTATGAAAAAATATTGGAACCGATATAAAATGTTCGTCGACGAAATCTATCATAGCGCTAAGTATGATGGGGATCTTAAGTATAGCGAATACAGACACAAAAATGTTGGCTAAATGAAAGAGACACAATTCGAATAGAATTGGTTTCATACGAAAGACATATAGTTTTGGACATGTAGTTCAAACACTTGAAAGTATAAAATCAATGATATGTGCAATCAGTTTTCTATATCTTATTTGTCTAGCATGACATGAAAACTTGATATGCATCTAATTAAAGTCTATCACATGACTTAACACATATGACAATCCCTGAAGGATTTAAATTGCTTGAAGCATATACAATTCTTGATGTTGAAGTACCACTTCCTCAGTGCAATTTGTGCACAAATGTATCTTGCTATAACTATAAATATGATAATATGATAGCAAAAGTTTTCACCTCTATATGAAGATATTGAAATGACGATTCCAACCAGATCATATGAAGGCAATACATCTATTAGGGATGATGATTTCAAGGTGAAATAAATTCGTTCAGATTAATATGGATGATTTGTTTGTCAAATCTATACCAACGATCTATTGAAGATGGTGCACAAGATTAGAATGTGAAGGCTCAAGGATGTGAATTGATGCTCTCATCAGGGAGAGTTAATATTCGTTGTACTCTTTTTTCCTTACAAGGTTTTGTCCCACTGAGTTTTTCTTACAAGGTTTTTAATGAAGCAACCAAAAGGCGTATTTCTAAACATGTGTACTCTTTTTCCTTCTCTAGAATTTTTTTCCCATTGGATTGTATTTGGTTAAGGTTTTAACGAGGCACATTATCTGTTGAATAGACATTCAAGGGGGAGTGTTATAAATAGAATTTTATTTATGATGAATGTATATATTTAGAGAGATTCTAGGGTTTGTTACTTGGTGACTAAGTCACTTTTCCCCTATAAATAAAGGGGACTTATTCCATTATAAATAATCCCAAAAATCAATAAGAATTCTCTCTCCCAACTTTTCTCTGCAATACTCTTCTTCTTCTTTTATTATTTCATAACAGTTTTCAAGATCTTTGATTACTAAATTATTTAGAATTTCACAAGATGATCAAGATAGGTTGTAGCATCATTCTATATCGATTTCGGTCCAACCTTGTCTCGGCAAAAACAGCTCTATCGAGTCCCCTTACTCTGTTTGGTTGAAAGCCTTACTCCCTGCCTTTGCTGCTCTAGAAGAATGAATATACCTAATTTTTTTCTTTTAGCCATTCGAGCTAAACATTCTTAGCCGTTCTCCAAGAAACTGTTTACCCTACAAACTAGATAACAATTAAATTTATAATGTAATTTTAAGGACACGTGATTTCACCTAATACCAATTAATAAACGTAAAAATTATCAGTATGGATTAACAGTGAGATAGAGCAAACTAGTCTTGAAATGTGATTCAGCCTTCGAGCTTAAGTGCCCTCGAAGTGATCGATGCCCAAAATAGTTAAGAAACAAACTAACTGATGAACAAGAATATAAGTTAGAAAGTATTTTATTGCTTTGATATACGTGGATGTAAGATTGTTACAAAATGATTAGGGCCCTCTTTATATAGAAGATGAATCCTAGTTATGGTACAATTCTAATTTTGGAAGCAAATCCCATGATTAACTAAATAACCATCCTTTATTTGATCTGTTCTGAGATTTACGCCATAATCTTCGGCTAGTCAGGGATATTTCGCATTTCTGTTATTGTGCTTTGCTCGATGTCTGTCTCATTTGGTCTTGATCGCCACTGGCCTCGATATTCGATAGGTATCTCGATCCTGAACTTGGTGCCTTATCCTTATAACTCGGTCTGATCCGTTGCGAGGTCAACCTTCGATGCAATTCCCCAATCTCGATCAAATAGTAAAATTAGGTAGGTCCGATTTTAACTGTATACAGATAATCCCCTCATTTTTTTGAAGTGTAATGAGAAGAAATGAATTGAGCCTTCAATTTTGTACCTCCTACCATGACGTCATCTCCATGACGTAAGCGACGGAAGTGACTGAAATGTTCTGTCGGTCCGTATATCGAGGCACTAAATGCATGTTAGTTGCTGTTCGCCATTATTGGTTTTGAACCGTCATCTTATTCCTATAAATGTGCTTTCTTTCTCTTTTGCCCAAACTTTACTCTTAATCCCCGCCTTAATCTTCAAAGTTTTTCACTTCCTTCAAGCTTTTTTGTGCTGCATAATCTCTAGCTTTCCTTATCAACCTTCCCTCAAAACACCAAAGCTCATTCTCTTCTTCCTTCTTTCAACTTGCAGAAATGGCAAAAACGCCTAAAACTGTTCCAGAAAAGGAGGGTGCCTCTTCATCGCGGTCGGTTGGTGGAGCCGTGCCCCGAGGAGTGCATTTTTGAGGTGGGTGTGATCTTACTTCTGACTTCAAAGTCGAGACAACTTCGTCTATACCTGGCCGATGTGAGCCAATGTCGAGATACATGTGCTCGATAACTGAGAGTGACCTTGAGCAGGTCAAGAAAGACTGCCATTGAGAGAAGAAAGAGATGGTGATTCTGACTC